CACAATGGAATTTTATGCAGCCATGAAGAAGAACGAAATGTTATCATTCGCTGGTAAATGGATGGAATTGGAGAACATCATTCTGAGTGAGGTTAGCCTGGCCCAAAAGACCAAAAATCATATGTTCTCCCTCATATGTGGACATTAGATCAAGGGCAAACACAACAATGGGATTGGACTTTGAGCACATGATAAAAGCGAGAGCACACAGGGAGGGGTGAGGATAGGTAAGACACCTAAAAAACTAGCTAGCATTTCTTGCCCTTAACGCAGAGAAACTAAAGCAGATACCTTAAAAGCAACTGAGGCCAATAGGAAAAGGGGAACAGGTACTAGAGAAAAGGTTAGATCAAAAAGAATTAACCTAGAAGGTAACACCCACGCACAGGAAATCAATGTGAGTCAATGCCCTGTATAGCAATCCTTATCTCAACCACCTAAAACCCTTGTTCCTTCCTGTTATTGCTTATACTCTCTCTACAACAAAATTAGAAATAAGGGCAAAATAGTTTCTGCTGGGTATTGAGGGGGTGGGGGGAGAAAGAGAGGGCGGAGTGGGTGGTAAGGGAGGGGGTGGGGGCGGGGGGGAGAAATGAACCAAGCCTTGTATGCACATATGAATAATAAAAGAAAAAGACAAAAAAAAAAAAAAAGAAGCCCAGAGCAAGAAAAAAAACAACAAAACAAAACATGGTGGAAGTAAGATGCATGTCAGGGATGGGGCTCCAGGGTACACTCTGCAGAAAAGGCAGCTGAACACACACAGCAGTGAACATTCTGGAACTAGTTCAGACCAGGGGACCTTTGACAATATTCAGTATTTAATAGTTTCCAAAGGTGAAATCAAGTTCTTCCCAGAGAGTTTGAAGATGAGAAGAGTCTAGCTAAATAACTATAAGAATTATCCCACCACCACAAAAACAATTTAACTAAGGTGTGCAGATGGGGATAGGAGAGGACTTTCCTGCTGTTTCTTCTGGAAACAATACTTATATTTAAATCAAGAACACTCAGAAATAACAAGCAAATGTCACCAAACAAAGACACATCCTCATGTAATTGGTATTTACATGAGCACCTGTGCACCTACCAGGGTCAGGTGGATGGTAACATAACTTCTGGACGTGTAACAAGCACTGAAGCTGCTTTTGCCTAAAAGCACTGCCTTGTTAACTTGGACCACCAACTAACTGAGAGCAAGAGGTAAGTTTGGCATCTCTGCGACCATTTGTATGTGTGCTCTAAGCCATCCTCTCTGCAGCCACCTTGGAATCCAGGAAGGACAGGACTGATGTATAACATCTTTCCAAGTGACAGAGGAAACTGCCCTCAATAAAAAGAACAGCAGAACCAGGCAACAGTGACTTGCTGATCCTAACCAGATTGTTCCCCTCAAGTGATGACAGTGGCAGCAACTTCTCCAAAACCCCTCCCCAGACGAGGACTGAGATCCTGAGCAATCAGGCCCTACTTTGTCCACGACTGTTTAATAATTCGCAAACCTTTTGCCCCCTGCCTGCAATTCTTTCTCTGTGTGAACCTAAAGCTCATTCTGTACCCCGAAGATGGGCTGAAGCGCGAGCTTTTCCCGCTCACATGCTGCATAAACCTCCTTTCTCTGCTCTTTATCTTCACCCTTCTTTACTTGGCGCGTTGGGGCGAGGCGGGACCTGACATGCGGAACTCCCTAAATTGGGCCTGGGACCTCAAACTCCAGTTTTGACGCAAAAGAATTAAATAACAGTGGCGCAGAAGGCGACTGGAAATCAGCTGGTGACTAGATACAAGTGCGCAGCCCTCGCTACACAGAGGCAGTGGGGACAAAAAGAGTTCCAAGGCCTCTAAGAAGACATTCTCGTGCTAGAAATCTATTTTCCACTCCCCTTCCACTCTTTTCCTGCCTTTCTCATTTCCTTCTTCCTTCATAAACTTTTTTTTTTTTTAAACGGTGGCGAACCAAAATGGCCTGATCCAGCTTATGGTAAATTTCAGTGGGTAGGAGATGAAATTAATCTGCTTCCTAGCAGATCAAAACTTGATTAAACCTATGCCTGGATCCTTTTCCCTTACCCCGCCCCCCCGACCTCAGGCGCAGGAGGAGGCCGGGCACAGCGGGCTGGGCCTACAGGGCCCGCCCGGGTGGCTCCGGGGCAAATTGGGCAGGTTCGGGCAGCGCCCGGCCGCGCCGTCTCCTAGCGACCCGAGAGCGCCGGGAACAGCCACCGAGGCCGGCAGTGGCGGTGCAGCCCGAGGCATCGCGGCGGACCTCGGGCTGCTGTTCCAGCCGGCGACGCCGGCCCGGGTGCGGGCGGCATGAACGGTGCGCGCCGGTAAGCGTGGCGCGCGGCGGGCGCATCCCGCAGGGGCCGCGCGGGGGCGCCGGGATCCCGGGCTCGCGGGACTGGGGCGGGGCCGCCTGCGGTGGCGATGGCCCGCGGTGGCGACGGCCTGCGGTGGCGATGGCCCGCGGCGGCGAGCGCCCCGGCGGGAGGGCCCACGTGCCTTGCTTCTTCAATGACCCCCGCACCTGCAGCATTACAGTAAAGTAAAATAACAACCCTCCACGTTCCCTCCCGCAAAGGGCGCTTCCTTCCTTCGGTATCCCCACGACCCCGTGGGACATAGATTAGGATCCCCAGCCAGAGAGAAACCGATACCAAGTCAGCTGTGATGCTGCCCTAGTCTAGGCCCCTGCGCTCTCTTGCCTCCAAACCCACCCTTCTCCCTTCGGCCGATTGTCCCACCAGAAGCCTGGGCCACCTGCATGCGTGGGTCCAGTGTAAGGCATCTGCGTCCAGCTGGTGGCCCTGGTGATGCGGTGCCCTTGGTGGTGGTGGTGGTGGTGTGGTGGAGTGTCTGAGGTCCTGGGGAGGCTTGCTGCCACTCTGAAGGGTTGGTGTCACAGCCACGGTAACAAGGCATTTTTCCTCTGCTGATTCCTTGAGTACTGGAATCCAGTCCACTTGAGATAGCTCAGTGTGGTGGTGAGGAGGTCACAGTCTTGCATCGAAGCCAGTTCTCCTCTTGCTGGCTTGGTAACCTTGGACAATTTGGTGGCTCCTTCAGGGCTTACTTTTCTTAACTGTGAAATGGGGACAGTAAAGTGAATCAGTTTTATAGGACTGTTGTGAGGATTAACAGAGGTGACACATGTAAACCTGTCACTGGCACATCGTATGCACTGTATACATGCTAGCAATTACAAACTCTTTGGACATCATATCCCATCAACCTTAAAAACCTTTTTGTTTTGAAATAATTGTAGACTCACAAGAAGTTACAAACATAGTCCAGAGGTCCCCCACATCCTTCCCCTAGTTGCTTCCAAAGAACCGACTTACACAATTACAGTCCATTACCAACCAGGAAACTCACATTGGCACAAGATGGTAATTAGACCAGGCTTTCTCTGGATTTCATCAGATCCTACTTGCACTTGTTTGTATTCCTGTAGTTCTGTAAATTTTTTCATGTATATATTTCAAGATACAAAACTGTTTTCATGACCACAAAAGAACAACTTTGCACTACCCATTTAGCCTCACTCCTTTCCCCATCCCCAACCCTTGCCAACCAGAAATCTTCATTTCTATAATTTTGTCCTTTTAACCATGTTAGACACAGTAGCATAGGCCTGTGGTTGCAGCACTTAGGAGGCAGAGGCAGGAGGATAAGAGTTCTAGGCCAACCTGAACTTGTAAGAATGTGTCTCAAAAAGAAAAAAAAGGTTAGCTAAATAAATAATATGGCATATGATCTTTTGATATTTCCTCTTTTTCACTCATCAAGATAAAACTCTGAGATCCATCCAAGTTATGTGTACCCATGGTTCCCAGATACTGTGTCTCTAGCAATAGTAAACACTTCGAAAAATGTTCTCAGTTTTTTTTGTATGGGTCAAACAAGATCATTCTTGAATGTAACTAAATGCCGAGAGGTAAGCTGTTTAGCTTTGACACCTGCTATGCAGGGTGGAGGAAGCCCTCCCTCCAGACTTGCTCACCTCTTGGTTTCCTCACTGAAAGGGGGGTCGGTGGACTAGATTTCTTTCAGGCTTTCAGCTAGCTCTAACACTCTATGATTTGAGCGAGCTGCCACACGTTCCCCAAATCATCTGTTATTAAGTTGAGTTGTGCTTAAACAAAATCATCTGTTACCAGATTTGATTTTAGAAAATGCTTGGATGTTTGAGTTAGTTGTAACTGTGTGGAAAATAAACTCTGTGAGGATATTTAATGATTTGGAGGGCTACTTGCTAATAGGTCATGCTGAGTGGTCATCAATCCCAAGATTAGATGTATCCCTTCTGCCATTAGCTATTTGAGAGTGATTTATTCAAGGCAGAGCAACTTTTTTGTAGTTATCTTTTTATGTCCTTTGACCTAGATTTTCACAGTGATGTGGATGAGTCTTTGAAATATAGTATTTGTAAACAAGTAAGAAATAAAAAAAACTACCACTTAAATTAAGAATATATAAGGTGAGGCATGGTATTACATAACTATGATCCCAGCTACTTGGGAGGCAGAGACAGGAAGATCATCATTGGAGGCCAGCCTGGGCAAAAGCACAAGACTCTGTCTGACAAACAAACTAAAAAAATAAAAGGGTTGGTGGAGTGGTTCCAAGTGGTAGAATGACTCTCTAGCAAGCTTAAGGCTCTGAGTTCAAAACCCAGTACTGCAAAAAAAAAAAAAAGGAGAGAGAAGAAATGCACATAACAGGATAATGCAGATATTTTAAGGATGCAGTGCAAATCTATGAGAGTGGTTTTCCTATGCAAGGGAGGGCACCAAGAGTGGGACATAGGTACAAAATAGAGTAAAGAAAGCAGGAGCGGGGCAGACATGGAACAATGATACTGTGCTGTGAACTAGGTGTATGATTAACTCAGCCTTGTCCTCAAGAACTCCTTCCCCACTGCTTCCCCCTCAAAAGGTGGAGAGCAGCCTCCTTCAGCCTCCTCTCCCACCCCAGTCCTGTGGTCCATGAGAGCCACCATGTTGCCTTCTAGGTACAGAGAGCATCTGTCTTCCACGTGGTTCACAAAGCACAACAGGTTGAAGTTCCCTGGTGCCCTGCAGGGCCAGCGCTGGGTGTTTGTGAGAGAGGGACTGGGTGACTTCAGGAACGGATGGCCACCTTGCCATGGTCTGATCACTCAGGGCCCAACGAGGCCTTTCTGCCCTGGATTCATCATAGAGCCCCCCAACCTGCCCCCAAGAAGAGGCAGAGTAAGTTGCGCAAAGAAGCAGCCCTGTCCTCCAAGCTGTCGCTGGTCCAGCAGGCTCAGAAGGCTTTGATAGAGGACATGGAAGGTCACCTGGTCGCGCACCCCTTGGCTCTCTATCCTCACCTGGAAGAAGCACTGCCTGTGGAGGTGATGGTCCCCCATCCCCTCAACCTGGGCTTGAGGGAGGCGCTTCCCAGGGGTCTGAAGATAATTCTGCATGCCCGGGTAGTCCCTTTGGGGGAGGCATGTTTTATAAGAGGAGAGAAGAATGTGTCCCCAGGGTGAGGACTCTCATGGGGTCAGGACCAATAAGTGGCAGCCACATACAGCTGCTCCCTTTGCTTCCTGTGAAGCCATTCAATTTCAAAGGCACAGACACCAGGAACTTCCGAATTTCTTCTCAAGTTCCACCAATTTGCTTTGCCTTCAGACTTTCTGGGAGCAGGGAACAATGGGAGAATTGTTGAGTCTTCTTTTCTGTCCCTTTGGCTGGGGTTAGGTGTCCTTAAGTACTCACTAGGAAGAACCTGAAGGGTTTGTGGGAAAACCCACCCAATTGTTAAGACCAAGGGTGGGCAGCAGCTCTGTCATGTCACCAGTGTCCCAGGTTTCTTCTGACATTTATGTCCACAACCCTTAATATGTCTCTTGTCCTTGCATCTCAAAATGGCATCAGGTGTCTTTCAAACAAGGAGGAGGAAGAGGCAGAGGTTATGGGTACATGCCAGGGCTCTATCTTTTAGTTAGCAAATTGTAGCTTTCCCGGGAAACAGCTCATTTAGTTGACCTCTCCAAGCTGCTAGGGAGTCTAGAAGTTGTTCTTAGCTTAACACTGCAGCTTTGAACAAAGCCCGAGTGTGTCAGAGTTAAGGAACCCAGTTGGAATGGATAGGGCAGGGAGCTTGCGGTGAAGCTTCCACCCCACCCGTGCGGTCTTTTGTGGTTCAGAAAGGTAAACAAATCCCAACACTCCTCTGCTCAGAGCCCCTTCTCACTCTCAGTAAAGCCAAAGTCTTTGCCTGGTCTATGAGGCCATGTGTGTCGTCTGTGCTGTTTCTCCAGATTCATGGCCTGCTCTTCCAAGATCACTTTGTTGCTGCCACTCTGGCCTCCTGGCTGTTCTGGGACCTTTACAAGCAGGTCCCTGTCTTGTTTCTGAACACTTGCCCTCAGATCCTGCTTGGCTCCCTCTTTCCCTTCCTTCAGCTCTTTGCTCAAATGTTCCCTTTTTGCAGAGGCCTGTGTGCAATAGCACTTCTCTTTCTCCTTGTCATCTGTCCTTCTCCATGTCTTACTTAGCACTTGTCACCCTGTGCTCCTCTCTAAAACAAAAAACTCTAATAAGGCAGGGATTTCATCCATGTTTTTCACTGTGTACCACTAATACCTGGCATATGGTAGACTCTCAATAAATATTTTTGAATGGATAAGTGATCAGTGGCAGAGAGTCTGTGGGAAGGACAGCTGGACTGTTCTACACCTCGGGTTTACCTCCAGTGCTTCTGGGTTCATGACTGAGATTTCTTTGTACACATGGATGACACATGGACATGGAGTGACACTGAGGCTCTTATGTCCATGACTGACTTCCTACACTATGTGTGTTAGTGGTCTTTTGAAGGCAGGGCTTTTTAGGGTGTTATCCTGGTCCAGTAACCTCAGCCTTAAATTCTACCCACTGAGAAATCCCAGCAGAAAAAGAATACCTCTTTTTGCATGACTCCAGCACAATCCCATAGCCTGCTTTCCATGGGTCCAACTTGATTCAGAGTTTTCTTCCAGCTGAGGCTGCTTTCTGTTTGTAGCTCTTACTAAAGGTGCTGGAGGCTCTTGATCCTGAGAGGAAGCTGGAGGATGCTTGGGCTTATTGTCAGGACACTGGGAAAAGAATGAAGGAATCCACAAAAAGATGTTCTACCCAAGTGTGCCTGGAACTGTGAGTATAGCTTTTAACCCCTAACTTTCATGGCTGTCACCTGATGAGACATTTTAGAAATTACCTTCTCAAAGCATCTCATCTTCAGAATAATGTTAAAGAAGCAAAGGTAAGTTCCTGAGGAAGAAGGAAAGGTACCATGGGTTCTGCTCAGAGTAGTGCTCATTTGTTAAATGGATATGATTTATCTAGTCATTGTGCCAGCTGGGTGTTCACAGAGCTTTTTTGACATGAGGAGAACTGCAAAAAGCCTGATTAATTGTCTCTGACAATAATCAGCTATAGCTGAAACTCATTTATTCAATGTGATTGAGGCAGTAGTTGGTTGGATAAGCACCAAAAAAGTTGATAATACAGGGAATTATAAAAAGTGATGCATAAGTACTTGAAATATTTTATTTTATCCTAAAGCATAAGTGTACATTCACTTGCTAGTCTTTAATCTAAAGTCTTTTGGGGGGTTGGTTATTGCTTGGAGTTTCCACTCATCTTTCTTACATAAGCCATACCAGTAATGTCACCTTCTCTGGAATGTTTAAAGCCTTATGCTTAGCAGAAGTATCTCTCTTTTGTATCACATTCTAGTTTCCCCAATTCACATAATATTATAAACAGTGTAAATGCCTGATAAGTATACTAGACATTAATAGGTTTGGAAAACATGACTTTCGAAATTAAATGAGCTTACTGGTGGGTGAGTACCCAGGTTGCTTACAGACAAGGGTGGAATCCTGTCAGGTGTTGATAGGGCTCTGGAGAGCTCTGTCAGCCACAACAGTTACTGACACGGGGGAGGATTAAGAGAGAATCCACTACATACTTGTCAGAATAGTACCTAAGATGACAGGAACTCTATTGTGGTAACATTTCTGGCTCTTCAGTGAAATCCCTGGTAAATTTTGGGAGAGCAACTGGATATGCTCATCTCAACTCTGCCCTTCTTCCACTGGGGAGGGAGAGGGCCTGGGGAAGCACTAGTTCTTTTTGTTCCTCCACCCCCGAGGGAAAGTCACCCCGCAGGGATGGAATGGGAGAATCCGCCAATTCCTGGGTTCCAATTAACAAGTCCTCTTGAACCCAAAGCCAGTTCCTCTAACATGGCGGCTGTAGCTAGAAATAACAGTGATATTTTGGCTTGGTGTTTGCTCTTTGCATTATTTTTCAAGTTGCCCAGAATCTGCATGTGGAAGGGACACGAGTGTTATATACAGAGATCTGTGATGTAATAAAGCTGTATGGATATACAGGATCTGCCTTTCACCTTGGGCATATTCCCTGGTCAACCTTCCAAAAGTCTCTGAGGCAAAAATTGACAAATGAATGGGTTATCTGAAAAGGGAGAAGGCACAACATTGATATATTAATTAATTATTATATCACAAAATAAATGTCCAATTACATACTGGTGAGTTTTTCTGTCAACATATGTGTTAGTTTCTTTGGCTGCTGCAAAACAACTGGCTTAAAACAACATAAATTTATTATGTCACAGCTCTGGAGACCAGAAGTCTGAAATAAGAATCACCATGCTGAAATCAAAGAGTTGGCAGCCATCTTCCCTCCAGCAGCTCCAGGAGAGATCCATTCCTTGCCTCCTCCAGCTTCTGGTGGCTATAGCATTCCTTGGCTGGTGGCTATACCACTCCAGTCTTCAGGACTAGTAGCTTCACATCTCTGCATTCCCATGTCACCTTTGCTGTTGTGTCATCTTCCTCTGCCTCTCTCCATCAAGGACACTTGTCCTGGCATTTAAGGCCCACCCAGACAATCAAGAATAATGCTGCATCTGAAATGCCTTAAGTGAATCACATCTGCAGTGACTCTTTCTAAGCTAAACACTTACAAGTTCCAAGAATTAGTACCTGGTCTCTTTGGAGGCCATTATCAGCATCCCAGGCATGAGTAAATGCCTCTGATCTTGGAAACAACTCCCCTTGACCAGAAAATCTCTGCTTTTGAAAAACCTTTGAAAGAGGCCCCCACACTTACTCCATCTTCTCCCAATTTCACAGAACCAGGCTTTATCTCCAGCACACCACTGACCTTGCCCTTGGCTAAGGTCGTTGTTGACTTCCACGCTACTAAATTAGTTTGCACAGATCCCCATCCTTTCTTCATTAGGCTTCTGGCACATTCATTTTTGTTGGTTTTCCTCCTATCTAATAGTCCTGTCTGGTCTTCTTTTACTGGCCGCTTTTCACTTCCCTTGAACTTTGAAGGGCTTCGGTCTCTGCCATCTTCTTTTCTGTGTATTCATATCCATGTGACCTTGTCCAGTCATATATGGATATATGGATTTTTCAGTGTTTGCCTTTGGATGTATAATTGACTGCTCAGGCTGGACAAGTCTAAAATGGAGCTCTTTTTTTTTTAAGGTACTGGGGTTTGAACGAGGACCTTGTATTTGCTAGGCTGCAGGCACTCTACTACCTAAACCATGCCTCCAGACCTTTTTGTTTTAGATTATTTTTCAGATAGGATCTCTCATGTTTGGCCTGGACCAGCCTGGGACCTCAGTCCTCCTACCTATGCCTCCCTTATAGCTGGAATTACAGGCATGAACCACCATTCCAAGCTTGTTGCTTGTCTTCCCAGTAACTGGGATTACAAGTATGAGCCACCAGATCGACCTGTTGTTTGTTTGGTTTTGAGTCAGGCATGAACCATGCCTGGCTATTTACCTTTTTTTAAAAAATCTGTCCCTCCTACTCAATCATAAACTTTATAAGAACAGAGATTTAGCTTTATTTACAGATGATTGCTGATGCCTAATGCCTGCCTGGCACATACTTGGTGCTTAAGAAAAATTTCTTAAATGAATGAAAGGATAAATTAATACATAGTGTTATGAAGAAAAGTCAGGTTCAGAGCACATACCTATAATCCTAGCACTCTGGAGGTGAGGTAGGAGGTTGTGAGTTCAAGGCCATCGCTACATAATAGGACCCTATCTCAAAAAAAAGAGAAGAAAAGGAAGGGAATGCAGAGGCAGGCTCAGGGGAGAGCCCAAGGGAAGGGACTCTCGGAAGGGAAGGGACGTGCATGTTGAACAGAGGGTGAGGAGATGAGGGAGGCAGTGCAGTCAGGTGGAACAGCATATGCTCGGCGCCTGTATTGGGAGGTAGCATGATGAGTTCGTGGGACCAAGAGAAGGCTGGAGCTCAGAAAGCAAAGGAGGATGGGAGTCTCAGGAAAACCTGGACAATCAGGCAGGGGGCAGGCCATGAACAGCCTTAGAGGCTGTGAAGTCTTCATTGGAGGAAACTTGTACATGCATGTTCACAGCAGTGTTATCCCTAATAGCCAAAAGTGGAAGCAAAAATACCCATCAACTGGTGAATGTATAAACAGGATGTAGGATATCCACACAATGGAATATTATTCAGCCGTGAAAGGAATAAATCACTGGGACATGCTGCAACATGGATGATTCTTGAAATATTTGCTAAATGAAAGAAGCCAGATGCAGAAGACCAGATACGGTATGAGTCCAGTGAGCTGAAATGTCCAGATTAGGCAAATCTGTAGGGAATGAAAGATTAGTGGTTGCCAGGAGCAGGGAAGGGAGGAGGTGGGGTGTGACTGTTATTGGTTATGGCATTACTTGTGGGGTAATAAAAATGTTCTGAGATTAGATAGTGGCCTTGGTCATATAACTTTGCAAGTATATAAAAGGTACAGAATTATTATACACTCTTTTTTTTCTTTTGGGCGGTACTGGGGTTTGAACTCAGGGCCTGGCACTTTCTAGGCAAGCTCTCTACCACTTGAACCATACTCCCAGTCCTTTTTGCTTTAGTTATTTTTCAGGTAAGTTCTTGCTAACTTTTATGCCCAGGCTGGTCTCAGACCACGATCCTTCTGTCTCTGCCTCCGAGAGATAGCTGAGATTATAGGCATGAGCCACTGTGCAGGCTCAGAACTCTATACTTTTGAAATGGTAAATTTTATTCATTTAATGGTGTATGAGTTGTATTTTAAAAAGAAGCTATTTGATGAGGCTCAATAAGTTGAGGATGAAGGATGACTGCATTTGACATGCTCAGATTTGTATTTTGAAATGACCACAATGTAGAGAATGGGTTGAGGAGTGGGAGGCACAAGAAAACATGCAAAGACCTAGTGAGGAACCTTTTGCAATGGTTCAGAGAAAAACATTAACATCTTCCTGGCATCGATGGGCTGGATTTTAGAGATGAGAGAGAAGTCAAGGATGTCTCCTATTTGTCCAGATTGTCCGAGGCCATGGTAGACTTCATGGGCAATGATTTGAGCTTCTACCTGGTAATGTACTAATAAATGTACCCATGATTTTAAAAATGAGCTTACAATGCTTAGCTAAGTACTTCTAAGTTTTAATTTTTATAACTAATCATGAGCTTTAGGATATTGCCAGTGGGAATGTGGGCATGTAAGAGTGTTGGAAGTACTTGCCTTAAGTCTCCTTTCCCCACGGTACTGTTTGAAATCCACCTGGATTCATTGTGCCTCACAGTGTGATTCTTTGGTGATCTCATTGTCTTTAGTCCCAAGAAGACTCCTGTGTCACATTCAGGCCAGTGGATTTACAAAGAAAAGCCAAGTAAAATGGATTTGCTCCAGGAGGATGGTCTTTTTCTTCATGAAAATGTACGCAAAGGAGTTAGGGACTTCTGCAACTGGGCTGCGACTTTTGTAAGTCAGTGGTAACACGTATTAAAAGCCAAATTCACGGTTGCTTTTATTAAAAGACAGTATTTGAATAAAATCTGTCAAATCATCAGAGTCATGATGAAATTAGTCTCTCCTATCATTTATTTATTTATTTTGATGGATACATTTCAAATTTTATTTTTTTTTATTATTATTATTCATATGTGCATACAAGGCTTGGGTCATTTCTCCCCCCTGCCCCCCCCTCCTTACCACCACTCCACCCCTCCCCTTCCCCACCCCTCAATATCCAGCAGAAACTATTTTGCCCTTATTTCTAATTTTGTTGTAGAGAGAGTATAAGCCATAATAGGAAGGAACAAGGGTTTTTGCTGGTTGAGATAAGGATAGCTATACAGGGAGTTGACTCACATTAATTTCCTGTGCGTGTGTGTTACCTTCTAGGTTAATTCTTTTTGATCTCACCTTTTCTCTAGTTTCTGTTCCCCTTTTCCTATTGGCCTCAGTTGCTTTTAAGGTATCTGCTTTAGTTTCTCTGCGTTAAGGGCAACAAATGCTAGCTAGTTTTTAGGTGTCTTACCTATCCTCATATCTCCCTTGTGTGCTCTTGCTTTTATCTTGTGATCAAAGTCCAATCCCCTTGTTGTGTTTGCCCTTGATCTAATGTCTGCATATGAGGGAGAACATAGGATTTTTGGTCTTTTGGGCCAGGCTAACTTCACTCACAATGATGTTCTCCAATTCCATCCATTTACCAGCGAATGATAACATTTCATTCTTCTTCATGGCTGCATAAAATTCCATTGTGTATAGATACCACATTTTCTTAATCCATTCGTCAGTGGTGGGGCACCTTGGCTATTTCCATAACTTGGCTATTGTGAATAGTGCTGCAATAAACGTGGGTGTGCAGGTGCCTCTGGAGTAACCTGTGTCACAGTCTTTTGGGTATATCCCCAAGAGATCTCCTATCATTTATAAAGGAAATGTTTCTGTATATGAAATTTCCGGAAAGCTTGCAAGCTTGGAGCTCATTTGAATGCTTATGAGTATGTCTCACATCGTTGCTGTTGCTTCATATTTTAATTTTCCATTTCAGTGTCTGGAACTTCTTTTTTCTCTGTCCTTCACTCCTACTCCAACTCATGCTTCTCACTTATACTTAGCTATAAGTACTGAGGCAGCTCCTACCGCAATCTTCCCCTTCCCCAAATATTTTTCAGACAGGAAGAGAATTTTTAACTCAATTATCAAGGTCTTTCCTTGCTCTTCTTCCAAGAAATCATTTAAGCACTTATTCCTGTTCCTGAGTCTCTGTAGATGTCTAGATTTCCAGTGCTTTTCCTGGATTTTAGAACTTCCAGTATTTTTACACCCTCTCCCCAATTTTTTGAGTTCATTAGTCAGTTTTAGTCAAATGTTTGGCAAAAGACTGCTCTCCAGACCCCAATATAATTCATTAGCTTCCTTCCTTCCTTCCTTCCTTCCTTCCTTCCTTCCTTCCTTCCTTCCTTCCTTCCTTCCTTTCTTCCTTCCTTCCTTCCTCCCTCCCTCCCTTCCTTCCTTCCTCCCTCCCTCCCTTCCTTCCTTCCTTCCTCCTTCACTCCCTCCCTCCCTTCCTTTCTGTTTCTCAATTTTTATTTTCCAAACTGAGATTCTGTTGAGTCTAATTTATCTTTTGGCATGAAGCCATTTTGTAGGTTGGCAGTCAGCCTACAGATTGGTTGTTCTTAATGTTCCCATCTCTACCCCCAGCAGCTGTGTACAAAGTGTGGCTGACTACTATGGCCTCCTTCAGCAGGAGGAGCCTTATAAGATTCCCTTATAAGTGGCTGTGGAGAAAATAAACATTGCCATGTCTAGATGTGTCTGGAAAATACCATTAGCGATGTCACGGCTGTACAAAGTGCTGGCCATTCTGACTGGGATGAGGCAGAGTCTCAAGCTAGTTTTGATTTGCACTTCTCCAGTGGCTAAAGATGTCAGACATTTCATGTATTCATTGGCCGTTTGTTCTTCTTTGTAAGAGCTGTATAAAACAGTCTCAGAAAGATAAGTATTGGCGTTTTCTCTCAAGTGAAATCTAGTGGAAGGGGAAGCGGGTGGGGGAGGCAGAATAAGAAAGAATAACAGAGGGGGTGAATGTGATCAAAGTACATTGCATAGATGTATGGAAATGTCTTAATCAAACTCCTTACCTTGTACAATTAATGTGTGCTAATAAGAAAAGAGGAAAAAAAGTGCTGGAGAAGTTTACTTTTGATCATCAGACATAATTTCCCTCAGGATTCACTCCATCTTGCAGGTCCTATACTATCTCTTAATTTACTCACAAAACCCTCTAGTCCCCCAAATTTATTTTCAGTGAATGATACTGAGTATTTTCTCTTTTTTTTTCCCCATGTGGTACTGGGGCTTGAACTCAGGGCCTATACCCCAAGCCACTCCACCAGCACTCCCCCTGCTTTTTTTTGTGATGGGTATTTTTGAGATAGGGTCTTGTGAACTATTTACCTGGGCTGGCTTTGAACCTTGATCCTCCTGATCTCTGCCTCCTGAGTAGCTAGGATTACAGGTGTGAGCCACTGGTGCCCAGCAGAGTGAGGATTTTTTTACTCTTCCTTCAACAACCTCTTTCCCACAGTGGTCAAATTCTCCCTTAGAGGAAAGAAGGCAGCAAGGAGAACTTCGCCAATTGCACTCAATTCATGCAATGTGATATTCTTCCAGGGAAGTTTGGACATTGATGAAGAGTTCATTCTGGAACAGTTTAACACTGACTGTCAGAACAAACCAAACTCTGATGTGCTCCACGTGCTGAGGTTAAACCAGGTTCCTTTGGAGCTAAAGAAGAATGTACAGCTAAGCAAACTGCAGGAGGCAGAATTCTTCCAGAAACCAGACCATGAGAGAAAATTCCAGAAACCACAGGTGATTGCTGAAGGGGAGCAGAATGAAAAATCTAAGAAAATTAAGGTGTATAAAGTCACCTTTATTATATCATATTATATTCCTGAATTCTGGTATTTCAGGGGCACTGGCTTTTTAAAAGTAGACTTTGAAATGTTTGCATATTTAATAAATATTTGATAAAGGAATGAAGAACTAATACACTTAACAAA